TTATTTTACTAAACTAAATATACTCTATTATAATATATTATATTGGTAATTGCATTTTGCCCTATTATAAGAGACATGTCAGTTGTAAACTTGAAATTTAACATCTACATAATGACAAACATGACCATTTCCTTGTATCGTGCATGCTGCGTATTACTAATATTAACTATATGGCTCCGCGTTATCGTCCGGGCAGAACTATTGTTCCAGCCACCAAAGACAGATTCACAAATAACCTGCCTGATTTATCTCAACTGCTCTGTGTACCAATAAGTACACATGAACTAGACGAAATAACTAGCAACATGGGCACTATCTTCTCTAATACATTAGAAGCTGTTGCCCCCATCAAATTGAAAAAGGTTAGAGAAAAACGCACTGCGCCATGGTACAACAGTAATACCCATTCTCTCAAGAAAAAAACTCGTAGTCTTGAGCATAAATGGAGAAAAACTAACTTGGAAGTTTTTAAACTGGCCCCCCGACTGAGCCTGGTTTCTCCCAAGGTTTTTTCTCCATTCTGTCCCCGCTGGAGTTTTGGTTCCTTGCCGCTGTCGCCTCTGGCTTGCTTAGTTGGGGGCACTTCATTTCCCGCGTTATCGTTGACATGATTGCAAAGATATTATTTAAACTGAGCTGGATGTTGACATCACTGAATTCAATGATGAACTGTCTTTAACTGAAAAATTAGTGTTTACTATTGTCATTTTGCATTATTGACACTATTTTCCTAATTAATGCTGTTCAGTTGCTTTGTCACAATCTGTATTGTTAAAAGCGCTATATAAATAAAGGTGACTTGACTTGACTTGACAAACAGTAATTGCAATTGAATAAATGTATGCAAAAAAAAAGGTTTAAAAAGTTCAAATGTAAGGTCATTAAATTACCAATAGAAAAAGATGATTACTGAGTATACTGTCAAGCACCAAAGCCCCATCAGAATGAACAATAAGGTAATTGTTGCATTTGAACTCGAGCTGTGTTCCCAAGTGAGAAACCACATCTCCTATAATCCTGCACAAACAGCATTAATATGCTGCTTTATTTATTTGAGTATTCTATTAAATTTCACAAAGGACATGCCTAGGCTCTGAAGACACCACAAAATGTTTGACAGCCAAAACAACAATCAAAAGTGGCAGTAAAAAATAAAATACAATAATAAAAAATAAAAAAAATAAATACATCCACCAGAAGTTTACTTAAACATGGTTTTCTCATTTGATTCTAGGTCTCATGAGTCATTTGACCTGTCTGAGATAATTGCATCAGATTTCATTTATCAATAGAGCCGTAAGCTTTGAATAGTGTTCCTTCATTAAAGTTGAGCAGATTGAGTTTGGCCTAGCACTGCTCTGCTCTGCTGCCCAGACACAATGATATGCAGCAGCACTAGACACATCCTCAAACGCACTGAGAGGAATTTCTTAAGGCTATCATGAAAAGATTAATTTAGATTTTGGGTTTCATTGAGACCAAAGTTTAGCATTGCAGATGACTTGTGGTCTTGCCATGGAAACCTTTTGACTGATATCCTTGCCTTTGTTTGGAGAAGAAAACCACATTCTTTCATGTTCGTTACAGAGGAGATTAGGGCTAGTTGTCATGCCTGATATATATATATATATATATATATATATATATATATAGTAATTTTGAGGTAAAAGTCCAGGATTTTCTGTAGCAGTGGTTTTGTATGTGTCAAACATTTAATCATTTTAGTTACTTTTTGTGAATTCAGTCCTCCGAACAAAAATTTTAATACCATTTATTTTGTTTTAGTTGTTGGGTAACAAATAGTCAAACTAATACCATTCAAACAAGGATCAACCATGTTCTGATGGTAGATTTTTAATTAGACTTGAACTATGATCTTACAACAAGGGTATTTTTCAGGTCGAGGTTGTCACGTTTAAATTTGCTTGAAAAATTATTTTGTTGCATTTATTGTATTGCTATTGTATTACATTTATCATGAATTGCTTTTGTTGTGTTTAAATTTGACTGAAAAGCCTAAATAGACTGCTTACTGGCAGCTTCCATTGTGACAACTGACAAACATTCTGCGCTATACAAAAGATCAACTGCATTCCATAAAATGCAATTTTTTTCTCCAAAAGTATGACAGCTGACCTCTGTATTTCCTATTTTCCTCTTTTGAGACGTGTGGATACATGAAACAATGTATTACCTAGAAATGCAGTCGTGAAAAACAAACCAATCTTAAAGTTGACATGGTAAAACATACCATACCATTCCTGAGAAAGCAAAAGAGAACACAATTCAAGAATTTGCAGTGTTAATTCTGATGGAAACAGCTATCGATGGCTTGTGTCCACAAATTAGACTGAGCTCTAGATTGGGATTAGCTAATGAGCAAACAGAGGGCAATTTAAGACTGCAGCCAGAATTGCTGTTATTTTAAAAGTACCCATTTCATTTGAAGGCTGTGCTTGATCAATTTTGAATAATAACTCTCCTCCAAACTAAATAAACCTGGCCATAATTGCTTTCGCAAATCAATTAAGTTCTGTTTGAACGAAAGCCAAAAGAAGGACCAAGGGACTTCCACTGAGCATTAAACTATGCTGAAGCTACGCTAGCTCAGGCTAATCTCAAAGACACTCGGTCCCTTTTCGCCAGTGCGCATCCCTGTTAAACACTTCCTGTGGAGTGAAAGTAATCTATGAACACATGCACGCACACACACGCAGCTCTGCTCCGGTTCAAATAGTCTTTCTCTACCAAATTTTGTGTCCCTTTAGTAAATATTGCCTGCCTGCTTATGTTGTCAGCATAAATAGTATAAAATGATCAAAAAAGTCAACAGCGAGGATCTCGCATTCTTATTTCTAGCCATCTTGTTTACCTTTTTATTGACACATAGTTCTCTATAATCAGCTTTTCTGTCCTATAGCATCGAAAATCTATGCATTCCAAAAGTTTGCGTGTCTAAACGTAATGTCGCTCATATCTGAGCTTCATCGATCCCTGTTCAGATTCAATCCTCGGCAAGCAGATATTTCCAGGAGAAACCCTTCACTTTGATTCTCTTCTGTCTTGCTCACTCGGCTGAGATCATCTGCTGCTGTCCTTAAATCACATCCTAAAGTGCTGATCTGCACTCTTGGAGAGACTGAAAAGTGCCCAGTGCTGAACATGGCAATCATCTCATCAAAGCCCAGGCGTTGAATATCAGAACTCAGGCTGAATGCACAAGTGAGAGGTAAATTGAGTTATCCTGTTTTACATAAATATAGAATTAACACACAGAAGGACTTACACAGCTGATGATATGCAACAATGGGCAATCTATATATATGCCTTGTAAGCATGAAGATTTGCATCTACTACTGCGTTTAAAGACAAAGCAGGAACATCATTCAAAAATAATATATTTGGGCTGATAGGGGTCTTAACTATACACATGCATTAAAGCATCTCCTTCCATCTCCAAAACAATACAAATGCAGAAAAAAAGAAGAGGGGATGATCAGATCCAAACAGGTTTGTGGATTGCGAAATGTTTCAATCCATAAGATATGACCTGTTTTGCTATGTGTTTAATATAGTTTAGTTGTAGTACATATACAAGTCTATGACATGTACTGTACACCACTGATCAAAAGTTTGAGTTCAGTAAGATTTTTATGTTTTTGAAAGTCTCTTATGCTCACCAAGGTTGCATTTATTTGAGCATAAATAAATTACTAATTGTGAGATATTATTGGAATTTAAAATGAACATTTTCTATTTTAATATATTTTAAAGTTTGTTTCAGCAGCCATTACTCCAGTCTTCAGTGTCACATGATCCTTCAGAAATTATTCTTTGAATCATATGTTGATTTTGTGCTCAAGAAACATTTGTTATTATCATCAATTTTGAGAACAGTTTTGCAGCTTAATATTTTTGTGGAAACCATGGTACTTTTTAAAAATGCTTTTTTTGGTGAACAGAACAAACAAACAACAAAAACTTTTGAACAGCAGTGTACATTGAGCAAATTAATTAATGCAAAAATAAGAGATATCCTACATCAGCTAAATGAAAAGATAATGTGGGCACGCTAAATTGTATTGTCAGCATTCACAGCTTACAGCTAACAACAATTGCAATGGTTATTTAATTAAAACATCCAGAGATTCCCACCCGTAAAGACAGCATTGATCTGTATTTTACTCACGAGGTCAGTGTCTTGTTTTGAACTGGAATTAATCAGTGTTATTGAAGAAATCGATTGAATGAACAATTCAATGACTCACTCACAAGGACAGTCACTTGTCGTCACCTACAGGCATATCGATGTAACCTGCAAGAAGAGTCACTGTATCCCCCACCTCTAACATACACACTGACAGGCAGCCTGTCTGGAACGAACACATACAAGCTGAGTGATACAAACAGTGAAAAGTCCCTGTTGTATAATCTGGATTGTAGCACCTCTTGAATGCTGAACTGACCAATCAGCATCCAGGACTGCAAATGTCCATTCAACAGTGTGTTTTTAACATGCCGATCCTCATTTTGGTGAAAACCAATGTGCAGACGTGCAAAAAATTAAATAAAATAAATAAGAGTGAGACTGATCTCACCTGAATCACACAACCTTGATGCACACCAAACTCAAGTGTACATACTCAAGTACATGGACAAAAAAGACTGAACAGCTTGATTTATATCAATGCAGTACACAGAGTGTCAAAAGTGCCCATTGTACGCAGTTCCACAATAGATACTCAACAAAAATGCAGTGTGTGTGATGCACATGTACTTCAAGCATGCAGTGGAGTGAGTAAATGTGTGTGCCATGCAAAATAAATAATACTAACCAAATCATCTAATAGCTGCAGATTCTTCTCATGCACTGTCCAATGTTTACTTACAAAGCAAAAGGAAACATTCAACTAACGTTTAATGATATTTGACCTGCTCATGCAGTGTGTGAGAAAGTGTGAATGTGTAGATGGGCATCCAAAAGCATGGAGGTACTCTACCTGCTTGATGCTGCGGCTCACCTGGGCAGGTGGCAGTGTTGTTGCAGAGTCGGGTTTCCCTCAGCGGGCCGCTGCAGAGGGTCCCATACGGAGAGGATACACATGAACGAGAACGAACCTGCCAACCCTGCCCACATGTCAGTGAACACACGCTCCACTGAGACCACTCCTCCGCAGCTGGGTCACCTACAAAACACAAGATGGAGAGAAAAGAAAAATCTTTAAATTCTTGACCCAGACTCAAACCACGGACTTCAATGTCAGTTCTGAAGGGTTATGTTACCCTACCCCTGTCAATAAATTCTTCCAGGAATGTTTTTTTTAAGTATTCAGGAAAACCTCCAACAATCCATTCCATGTCTTCAGCAACTTAAAAGGTGTTGCAAGGTCAGTGGCAGCCAGAGCCACCCCATCAGCTTGGGCTGAACGTGACGGGTGGGAATATGGCACGTGAAGTTCCCTAGTCATTTTTTGTCATTTTTGAAAGCCGTGTCCTTGGACAGAGGCGACATCACGAAGGGAATGGGCAAATCAAATTAATTGCACGTCTTGTAATCGCATTACATCTTCATTTGCATGTGGTGAGTCAGAGCTTAGCCTTATTTACAGAGCAGATGGGTGGAGAATAGAGTTTAGGGGGCTGATGGGGACAGGGATGGCAACAGGAGTTTATGCACAAACGTTTTCTATCACAATTTCCCTAAAATTGTTAAAACAATTTTAGGGAACATTTCAGTATAGAGACCAATTCTCACTAGTAACAAGATGCTTATTAGCATGCATATTACTACCATATTGGTTGTTTATTAGTACTTATAAAGTCTCTCTCGATCGATAATTAATTGAAATACATGCTATAATTCATTCAAATAAAGGTGCTCTTACTGCACTATTTCATCTCTGTGTCTGATTTAAAGCGGGCAGAATGCTAGAGCTAACGTGCCGTAACTGACGAAAATAACGAATTTTCTATTATATAACTAATTATAATTTACCCATTTGGTCAAATATTGCGCTGCAAAGAGCAATACTAGTTTTGACTTGTCTATAACTTGGCAAATGACCATGGAATAAGCGGAATAATCAACGGCTAGCCGTGCATTAAAGGATTTACTTCACGTCGGGCAGTTCTTTGCCTCCACGTCATGCATTTAAAATCCTTTAATGCACGGCTAGCCGTTGATTATCCCTTACATATTCTGCATGACAATATTCTACATCTCTAATCCTACCCAATACCTAAACTTAAGAACTACCTTAATAACAATTAATAAGCAGTAATTAGCAGTTTATTGAGGCAAAAGTCATAGTTAATAGTTAGTTAATAGTGAGAACTGGACCTTAAAATAAAGTGTGACCCAGTTTTAAAACAAAAATGTAACAATTAAAAAAAGTGTTGTGCATTTTTTATATATATAATATGTGACCCTGGACCACAAAACTGTTTTGAAAATTAGTTTATATATCATAACATAAATAAGCTTAATAGCTTTAATTATTTACAGTAGGAAATGTACAAAATATCTTAATGGAATATGATCTTTACTTAATATCCTAATGATTTTTAATTATTAAAAATCTATAATTTTGCCCCATACAATGTATTGTTGGCTATTGCTATAAATATACCCGTGCTACTTATGACTGGTTTTGTGGTCCAGGGTTACATATGTATATTTAAATGTATTATTTCAATATTAAAATGTGTGCGTGTGTGTGTGTAATTTATTCCTTCAATGTCGCATGGTCCTTCAGGAATTATTCTAATATGCTGATTTGGTGCACAAGCCAGTTTTGATGCTTAATATTTTTTTTAATTAATACTTGTATTTAGCAATTACACCATAACTTCATCAAGTGACACTAAACACATTTATAATGTCACAAAAGATTCCTATTCGTAAAAATGCTGTTCTTTTGAACTTCTATTCATCAAAGAATCTTGACAAAAATGTATGATGGTTTCCACAAAAATATTAAGCAGCAAAAATAGTTTTCATCACTGATGATAATAAGAACCATTATTATGCACTGAGCACCAATAATGTTTAATAATAACTAAACAGTAAATGTAACACTGAAGACTTGAGTATTTTCTTTTTTACTTATAACATACATACATATCTTGTAGGAGTTGCTATTTTCAGACACTTTTTTTTCTCTTGAAAAACATCAAAGAGCTGTCCATGGTTCTGAAATGCAATTCAACTTAATAATGGAAGGAGATGGGACTCACCTGTCTGGGCCTGAAACACACCCGGCTGGTCAGCTGATCGCGGCCTTTGTGTCTTCACCTTCTGCTCATCATCATCAGGTTCTAGACAGACACATGACGAAACACTTATATTAAATAAATAGGATTAGATAGGTGAGATATAGAGGATTTATTATTTCACATGCCAACAGGAATATGATACAGAACACTAATATATTTTATGCATTCATATATTTAATAACAATAACAATATAAAAATAAATACAATATAAACCATGTAGGGTCACAAATTTGCATATGTCTGTTTTTTATATGCTTCAAATGTGACTCATCCAATCAGATTTTAGAGCTGGAAACATCCATACAATCTAGTCAGAATATGCTGCTACACACGTGTCTTTATTAGTATGGTAGTGACGCATAAGGTTGTACAATCACAAATGCTAAAGCCCACACATACTATTAGCGCTGTTTTACATTTACACAATAATGTAATACATCTCTCCACCGAACTTCGCCTTGTCCTTGAATGAAATGTAAATCTCACCATAGTGTGAGGAACATTTTAAGTGTGCTGCTACAAACCTCATCTTGTAGCAGCTTCTGAGTAAACCTACATAAGCCAACAGAGACCCGTCACCAAAGTGTTTTCTATATCTGGCCTAGTCCTCGGGCACATGAAAATCCCACGTAATGTGAACACACACACATGAGAGCATATATTTCAACTCATCCTTGCTCAGATGAGGCTACCTGCCCCCAAAAAAGTGAAGTTTAGTGGAAAATGGCAATTTTTTTGTCTACTTTGCTGAATGTAATACTTTGAATCAACACGTTCAGTGTGTAGTGTCACGAGTGCCTGAACAGACCAAATCAATCCAAGGGATTAACTCTTTTTGACACCTCGACCTAAAAATGTAGTGTTTCTGGTTAATTCAAGTAAGTTGCCATTCAAGTAAGTCATTTTTTTTTTTAAAGAACAAATTGAAAAGTATGGAAGATTGTTTCTGCCACAGGATTTAAACAAAAATAAATAAATAATTGTGACAATTCACAATTCACAATTCTGAGTTTACATTTCAATTCTGAGTTACAATTCAGATTTATTTCTCGCAATTGAGACAAACTCAGAATTGTGAGATACAAACTCCGCATTATAACTTGCAATTGGTAAATCTGACAAATTTGAAAAGAAAGGTCTAAATTGTGAGATATAAACTCGCAATTGAGAGAAAAACGTCAGAATTGTGAGATAAAGCCACAATTACTTTTTTTTATTTTATTTTGTGATGGAAACAAAAACAAACAGAATTGCGAGATGTAAACTCAGAATTCAACTCAGAGTCTTGCAATTGTTTTTTTTTCTCCGAAATGCAAGTATATATCTCACAATTATGAATTTACATGTTAATTAAATCTAAAGTTGCCTTTTTATTATTATTTTTTTATCTTAATCAGTGGTGGAAACAGGCTTCCATGTGCACAGAAAAAGTTTGATGAGAAAACAAACAAACAAACTGGAGAGTACACATACATTTGTTCAAACTAATGTTAATGAACCAGTGTTAAATATAAACGAGGGAGGGTGTGTCCAAAGTAATTAGCATACAACATATCCAAACCATCTCTATATAAGGGCCTCTACACAACCTCTCCTGTATGGCAATTATCTAAAATATGTCTACAATTACACGTGGAGACCAGTTTGTGTGTGTGTGTGTGTGTTTGTTGTTTTTTGCTCTCTCTCTTAAATGTTTGCACTTTTAACGTTGACTTTGTTTGTCTCTAATGTATAGAGTGCCCAGTACACTCATTCAGCGTGCAGCACTCTCTTCTCTGGAGCTGATTGGTCGACTTGACCTTTTGCAAAAAGTGTGTGAAAAGATGAGTTGCGTGGGTTGCTAATAAATTCCACCACCATATGCAGGAAAAGAGGATTTCCATAAGATGTAGCAGGAAGAACCGAAGGAAGAAAACACTCTTCTCTGAGGCTCTTTCTAAATTACCATGAGCATTTATGGATGCTTAGAATAATTCACAATCATGAAGCACATCCTCAACATGAACTAAAAAAATAATAATTTGGGGGGCATGATTTATACTTCAGCGAGTTCCTAAAACCCAATGCTAAATTCATCTTAGTCAAGAGGCGGAGAATGAAGCACCCCACAGACTGCGTGTTTTTACGTTTACATTATTTTGCTGCGAAAAGTAGTTCACAGATCAGTGCAGACGGGATTTTAAATGCAGATACTATTGTAACGATACAAATGCATTTGAATAATGTAGGGCACAAAACATTTGACCTGCATTTAAAACTGAATGCTTGAAAAATAGATTATAAACAAAGAAAAGTTTAAACTAAATGTACTGCTTTTAATATACGGATTTGTAATACATATTTTCAAAAGACAGAATGGAACAGAATATCCCTCTCAAAATGAACTTTAAAGGTGGGGTATGTATTTTTTAAAAAACGCTTTAGAAAATGCTTTAGAGTCAGGTCAAGTACCAAAACAAACTTGCAGCCAATCAACAGTAAGGGGTGTGTCTACTCATGATGTGGAGGAGAGAGCGCTCAGTGCACAGGACGGACATAAGCCGAGCCGAGCGACGACAGAAAGATAGAGATGGCGGATAAAAAAACAAAAGAGGAAAATGTCTGCGGAACAAAAGAAGGCTTACGATAAGGCAATAAATAGGACCCGTGTAAATTTCGGATGAGCTTTCCAGCGCTGGAGAGAACTCAAGGAGCGGAAGGCCTGCGATCGGATGCCGAGGTTGCTTTGTTTCTTCTCGATAGGTGAGTAACACCGTGTTTACACCGCCGCAACAGCTAAAGTCTGTCTACACTGGACACGACAAAGCAACCTTTGAAAATCATTTGAAATGTGTGTCAATACGTCATAAATAGAAAGCAGCAACAGTAACTGTCGGGGATTTGTTGTGTCGCGCCGCATCCAGTGCAGACAGCATCACTGATTATAATGAGTTCTATAGTATTTTGTCATGCCGCACCACTCGCGTCCGGTGTAGACACGCTGTAACATTGGTTTTGCTTTGTTTCACAGAACTAATCGTTGCCTGGGTTGCGCACGTATGTGTGGGGTGGAGCTATCGAAATAGTGGCGTGAGACCCTTTTGGGGTAGGGGCGTGTTTATTTTGGTGATTTGAAATATCAACATTGGCTACCAGAAATCACTTACCCCACCTTTAACTTTGCACCGTCTTATAAAAATGCAAAGCTCAAGATGAGACACTCCAAAAACATTGTGATAAACAACACAGACATCAATTTGAAAGTGTATGGATGTAGCAATGGTGCTTTAAGAGAGATGAAAGACAACTTTCTACCAGCTAAAGCACAGATAATTAAACCAGTAAATGAATGCAAATGTATATTTATTGTTTTATCACAATAAAAAAAAATAAAACAATAAATATACATTTGCATTCATTTATGTAAGAACTTATTTAAAGACATTTATTAAATAAAATTAATTAATTTAAATGAGTGCTGTCAAATGCTTAATCACGATTAATCTCATCCAGAATAAAAGTTTGTGTTTACATAATATATGTGTGTACTGTGTATATGTAATATTTATATATAAATGTGCACACATACATGTATATATTTAAAAAATATTTGCATGTGTATATACACTTATATTTTAGGGCTGGGACAATAAATCGATGCATCATGATTTGTGGATCGATTCTGAGATTTTCGGAATGCATCGTGATTCTCTCTCGAATCGATTCTGAGCTTAGTTTTTAACAGCAGATGGCGCTCAAATGCTCACGAAGAAGAGCACTTGTGCGTTCGGCTGAGTAATGTAAGTGTTTAAATGTACTTGCACATCGGCTTTTATGCTTCATGATGTGATTCGTAATTCGCTTCAACCTTTTCGAACTTTATGAATGATTATTTTAGGTTCAAATGGTGCGTGTGTAAGGAACTGGAAGCAAGCAGAATACGGCTATTTCTAAAGCACACAGTGCCATCTGCTGTTAAAAACTAAGCTCAGAATCGATTCAAGAGAGAATTGCGATGCCTTCGGAAAATCTAAGAATCGATGCAGAATAATTTCCCGATTCGCAATGCATCGATTTATTGTCGCAGCCCTATTATATTTATATATAATTTATATTATATAAATATAAATATTTTATATATAAAGGTAACATATTTTTCTTAAATATATGCATGGACATGTATGCATTAATATATGCATAATAAGCATTCAAAGTATACAGGCATATATTATGTAAACACAATTTTTTATTTTGGATGTGATTAATCACGATTAATCGTTTGACAGCACTAATGTAAATGTTCATGTATATAAATCTAAAAGTATTTATTTTATGTATTACATTTAAATACATAAATATAAATTATTTTTGATTAAATAAAATTAAAATATATACAGCCAAACTATACTACAGTATAACCATTTTTGTGGTAGAAGCTACACACTAGAACCTAAAGATAGAAGCTAAAGACTATTTAAGATGGTTTGAGAACAAGAGATCAAAGAGACAAAAGAAACTGTGAGAAAGAAAACATACAGTACAGCATAAGAAAGGGAGACTTTATTAGCAAAGAGAGCTGCATCATATACATTGGAGCACATGGGATGGATGGATACTCTAGAGACTTCCCCCGTTGGCTCTGTCAAGCAGACCTGATTACCAGCGCTTCCCGCAGGGCCTGTGTTAATACGCTTATGATAGCTCAGACGCGCACGGAGACGATCACACTAATTTACTCTGTCACGGAAAAGACAATAGTGGTGTCAGGAAAGGCGGGATTTGTTCTGCTTGCTTTTTGTATCTCACTCCTACGCTCTGCCTCTCCTCTGCGTCTGTTGTTCTATGTCGGGTCTACGTAACTGTCTCCATTCGGCAAAGGGTGAAGAGAGTGGTTTGGTAAGACAGAGATAGACTAAACATGTCTTTTATCTTCATATCAGACACAAATTCTGGGTTGACGTATACCCTATTACCTCTCATGTTTTCATGTCTTTGATTTCTCAATTTCCTCACAATAACATCTCTATTAACCACCACCCGTCTTCTTCCTCACAGTGTCCAG